GAGAACATCATAGCACTCTTTATTTAATGTGTACGTATACATGGCTGATAAGTCAACCAAATTGGCTTCCGAATTACGTATGTGTACACGTATACTATACGCACGACATCCCCGACAGATATTCGTGCCAACGGAAACGATGACTCAATCGAGCGTCGTCTCTCCTCGAGATATAGACTGCGCGCGGCTTTCTTTCGGCGCGTATACGACTCGAGCGAGCAAGGTTATCTCTATTCTCAGCCGCCGAGCGAGCGTTTTCCGCTGCCGTGATTTTCCGATGGAAGGGCACAACACACTCGCATCACACCGCGTTCGATTCTTTCGATTGCCCTCCAAACGTGTCGCGCCGCGAAACTCGAAGTCGTGGGTTCGAAATCCGGCCACTGCGGCTGCATTTCAATGGGAGCGACATCTATAGAAACACTCACATTCCGGTGTGTACATTGAAGAAACCGAGATGGTAAAAATTAACCCGGAGCCATTTGCTATCTACGGCGGGCCTCGTGATCATAGCGCGATAGTTTTTTGTAAAAGCTCGACAGGTCCACCTCGGTGGATCAGTGGCCATAGGGTGCTCGGCTGCACACCTGGAGATCGCGGGCTCCATTCCAGCCGAGGCGGGGTCGCATTTCAGTCGCATAGGGCTACGGTGGTCCCATTTTGGTGAAGTCGAAATGGGAGAGGCCTGTGTACTGTGCCATGTCAGTGCACGTCGAATGAACACCACGTGGCCTAAATTTCCAGAGCCCTCCACGACGGCGTCTCTCGTGATCATATCTTGGTTTTTGGGACGTAAAACTCCAGATATTATTAGTAGAAAACAGCACGCATGTTCACGACACGCCTTGATTTACAAAGCAATCCTAATGGCGATTCAGTCTCTGTTAGACACGCTTCGCGTGGTTATGGGCGAGTTCAAATCACCATATGCTCAGTCCGTGTAACAGGTATACTCGATGTTCTATCGTTCTATGCCCAGTGCTTGCAAGCCTTCAGGGTGCACTTTGGTTCGAAAATCTACATATAGCATCATGATCCGTCCGATATCCTGAATCCAGTGGTATGGAACGCAGCAGTGCTGTTCAAGTTCACGCTATTATTTTACAGCGAAAGCTGTTACGATATCACAAAGAGGGTCACGTGCGCCGCAGTTGTCCGCCGCTGCTGCCGCCACCGGTAACCACACACCAAATAAGAAAAAAACAACAACAACTAAGCAAATAAAACACGCCGTGGACATAATCCATGGGATTTAAACACGGGTCTCCAGCGTGTAGTCTACCGCAGAGCCACACCGGTGCTTGAAACTCTGCTGTAAATTGGCCTTAGGCAGTCTTGATTCTTCATTGTCGTCAGCCACCAGCATAAACAAAATTGCCCGAAATTCCTCGCAAGTGTGTAGAAAATACCATGCCACTCCGAAGAATGACGAAGGATGGCGAAGTGAATACCTCCCGCTACGACATTCTGGCCATTCCCCCAGAGTGGGTATGGTAGTAGTAGTAGTAGTAGTAGTAGTAGTAGTAGTAGTAGTAGTAGTAGTGGTAGTAGTAGTGAGAGAGAGAGAGAGAGTTATACCGCGCATCCTAACGTCCTTGCACGACTTCTAAAGAGTGGCACTCAGTACAGATAAAACGCAGTTCCTCTCTTTACAATCTTCGAGCGGTCAAAGTTATAATTTATGAATTGGCTTGATGAATCCTGGTTGGCATCGCCAACAAACGTGATACTTGACGTAAGCTAGTCTTAGATCGAGGAACTGCAGCTCATTGTTGTTGGGCAGCTCCATAGTGCTAAATGTAGACCCATTCCACTTTCGTTGTAAAGCATCATAATGCTAACAAAGGGAACTTTGGTACCCAGTAGGAGCAAGAAGTCATCGACGTATCGAAGAACACGTGAAGTTAACCCATTTATTTTTTTGTTCATACGTCATCAATACCTTCATCCACTGCGACAAATATGCCCCGGTAATTAGCAAGGGAAAATAAAGTGTGTGCAGTGATTCCATACCTACACAGAACTGCGCAGGGTTTGAAAGATCATTGATTCACGGTATGTCGTAAACGTTAATTCTTTTCAACGCAGTGGCCAATGTGAGCGATTTGGTAGATAAAGCTGTGACAATATAACCCGGGAAGGACAACAAGGTGTGCCTCCAGTCACGTGCAGAAACATGAACTTTGCGCTACTGACGTGGAATACGTCATTTCACTACCACGTGGCGGTGAATAAGGCCACACCTAAACCGTAAGTTTAGTTGCCTAAACGTACGCCTACGAGTATATGTTCTGTATTTTTCGCGTGCCACAGACGCGTCTCGTTTGTTACCCTATAACCATTATAAGATACAGACAGACTGAACAGGGGTTGCGTGAGATAGGCGAAACCCTTTTTTAAATGATATTCAGCGAAAAATGCATAATCCATACGTCAATCACTCTGCTAGATGAAAGGTATAGTTATCAGTCAGGCAAGACTTTCCGCCACAGTGTATATGCGGTGGTGGAGCTCGGCTGCTCACCCCAAGGTCACGGGTTCGATCCCGGCCAGTGTAATCGCATTTCGGTGAAGGCGACATGGTACAGGCCAGTGTACTGTGTGATGGCAGTGCGCATTGAAGAACACCAGATGATCCAAATTTCCGCAGCCCTCCACTGCAGCCAACTAGCCCAAATAGCCATTCTTCTCCACTACGGCGTCTCTCGTAACCACATCGTGATTTTGGGACGTAAAGTTATTATTGTTGTTATTCAAATACTGTTATTATCTAGTAGGCAAGACATGAATCCCGTGATATTGCACCACATATGTGCAGAGTTTTGATGACCCACTGTTACCTATATACGTTGTTTCTTTTTAAAAAATCTAGTAGCGAGTTAAGCACTGTGCGCTTTTTATCTGTCTTACGGTCCGCATCGGAACCTCGCTGCGCTGTCAGTTATTTCACAATGATGTCTTTACTCACTCTAACCTGGCCCGTCATTGTCCGATGTGCATGATTATGGCCCTGCAGATTTCTGACGACAGTTGGCCCGGCCGATCGATCAACGCTGACGTTTTGTCCCAAGAATTATTTACTTTCCAGCTTCACTCCTAAAAAGCCAGGGACGAAGATAGTCGGTGAAAAGCACGTCGTTGATCCAAGTTGTCTCAATTAATTGCATATATTTATTCATTTTTAAATGTTGACACACAGAATAAGAAATGGTAGCGTGGCCCTCACGCATTACCAAGACAAAAAGATAATAAAAAACCTTACCAGTCTTATCACTCATCAGTCGAACCTATTTATAAAAATACCAGTTTTAACAATGTAACGTTGTATCACAATGAGAAACTGCTGGGCCGTCAACTCTTGTATGTGGTCTATGGTGAAATAAACCGCTTACAGCAATGCCTGCATGCCTCATTACGGGTGATAACCATGAATTCTGGCTGCTTGGTGTCCGTGCCGAGTGGTAGTGTAACGTTAATTCACTGGAAAGAAAGAAGAAAATGGAAAATTCAAGCTGCTGAAGCCCCGCTCACAACCTCAACGTACCCCAAAGCCTTCTTGGACTTGCGGTATGCTTGACCGCATAGCGCAGTGGTATTGCAGCAAAGCTTGTTCTTCGAAATCCGCTACATCACGGGAGCATTGGCGGCTTTCGTTAAAACGTAAAATTTGAGTTAAAAACTCAAACTGCGAAGAATTTAAGCGTGCGAATGAAGTTTCGTGGCACTAGAGTATTGTTATAAGTGTGTTCTACGTATAGTCTGTCTCAACTGGACTGCGGAAGCCTGCGCCGTCTCTTATATGAGTACTTCTTATCTACATACTTAATCTGCCACGAGAGCGTGTAAGTACAACTTCATTCTGTGGATATAGATGAAACACATGGGATTAAAATAGAAAAAAATAGTTACATCAGCAAACAGCAAGAATTAGTATTTCAACATTAAATTTGTACCTTATTGCGAAATGTCGTAGCTCGAATTTTTTTGCCGGGTCAACGCACATAAAGAACGTCGTTATTTATTCGGTTGTTGATGATGTTCTTGTCACATTACATTAATTCACATTGTATTGGCTAGGCTTGCTGTGAGGGGGGCGGGGGGAGACTGAACCTTTCTGCCCGCCAAGTTTTTCAATTTTGCAAGTGTATGCAGCATACATGCGAACGCACACATGATTAATACAATATTCTAATAGGAACAAGGCTCCACAACTATGTGCAGTAATCAGCCTCGAGAAAAGGCCTCCGATAGGCCTTGTGTGTTTTTTACGAACCTTGCCGCCTAAAAATTGAACGCAAGCCCAGGTTGCATGCGTAGCGCCATCTGGCGCATAACGAAAGATACACTAGCTGTTTTAGCGTGACGCAAGAAGAGAAGCCAGCAGCCTTTCTGCGTCGTCTCGCGATGGCAGCACCATCTCGGCTCCTGAACAAACTTTCCCGGCCAAAGTTGTCATGCAAAACGTCTCCTACGCGCCGCGGGGGGCCCGAAAAGCGCATACCACGCGTGCCTCGCTCCTTAGCTCATCTACAACTGTTCGCCAGGCACGAATGTCCATTCAGCAGCGCAGCGCCTACGTATTTTTCTTTCGCTCGCATCGGCCCGTTTAAGAACCGAGGCACGTGTGGCGTCTGCTGTTCCGTCTCCTAATAGTTAGTTTCGGTTCCGTGCTTTGGTCTCGTTCCGACTCTCGCCTAAACGGGACGGCGCGAGAGCGCATTCCGAGACGCCTGCTGCTGCCCGTCGTGCTCTCTCCTCTGACGGCCTCCTCTGCCTCCTCCGTGAGCCTTCGATCGGAGGTTGCCGTTGACGCCGCCGCGGAAAAGCGAGCAGCAGAGCCAGCGGGGCTGTTACATCGGCGTCGACCACCAGCCGCCGTGCACAATGCGTTCGGTGACCGCCGCGGGCCGCCGGCGGGCGTCGCAGCACGCGCTCGGCGCGGGCTGACTCCGAGCTCTCTCCGATGGTACGCGACGACGCCACGAGGCTGCCGAATCACCATGGGCAAGCTGAAAGCGTTCGACATCGTGCTGGACGGATACCGCAGCGTCTACCATCCCGGACAGGCGGTGCGCGGCAAGTGCGTGCTCGAACTCAAGGGTGACATGCGCTTGAAAGCGGTGCGCGTGTTCATGCGCGGACTGGCCAAGGTGCACTGGACGGAGTCGCGCAGCACGGGCAACCGGCTGGGCGCTTACACGGAGCACTACAACGCCGAGATGGAGTACTTCTTCCAGGGGACAGACACTTTTCGGCTCCGGTGAGTGGGATCCACTGAACGCGCTTTCTCAGATGCCGCACGCATACGTGCCCATCGTGCGTCATGCTGGTCATACTCTCGCCGACGTATCGTGTGTCCAGCGTCGACTGTGTTTGTGGTACGCCCGTGTTGTCCGACGTAGAATACTTTGAATGACCGTCCTGCAAACTTAAACGCCGACTTTCGACGGGACCCTCGAAGCGTGCACATGACGCGTGGTTCCCCGTTGAAACCTTGCTGCCGTGCGGTGAATCGAAATTTAAACCTCGCGCTCCGCGATCCTCCTCCTGCGCGTCCTTTCCCTTCTTTAGCTTGGTTTCATTTTCCGGCGCGCATCTCGAAGTTACGCGATCCGCGCGTTCGCGTCAACTGAATTAAAAGGTCCACCTCGAAGTACCGCTCTGTTGTACCTCCTTCCGAGGCGAATCATTACTACTTGCACATACATAACGACGCGTCTAGCACACGATGTCACTTGAGCTGTCAATTTTATAAGTTCTCCGTCACGATAAACGTCGAGGCGGTGATTGATGCGCGAACATGTCTGCCTGGCATCTTGGTAGCGCTGATCAGTTTTAGATCCGATGCGTCAATATATTCGCAGTCGTAGGGCGCCGTCGACTCTCTTCTCTGACCGATATACTCGCAGTTTCCAGAGTGCGTGCCAGTCGACTGACTTTGCCTTTCGTCGGCAGGTTGTTTGTTTGTGTTGGCCGGAGACCAGGCCAAGGCACCGGGTCTTCACTACCACTTCGCAAGAAGAGAAAGGGAAGAAAAAAATGCATATACGAAAAAAAAAATGGTCCAGAAGACCGGAGCTACCACAAATAAACAACCTCTCTTGAATTTACGACTCGGGAGTAACTTCGCAAACAGAGTTCATCGAAGAATGCGACCGATGGTGCACGGTGGACATCATTCCACGTGTCGTTTGGCTCTTTTTATTGATTCCGTCGTCGCCTCCAGTTTATAATGTGTGCTCCGTTCAGATGGAAGGCCGGAGAACGGCAGGCACGAACCCGCATCCCAAGTTTAGCTTCAGTGCTGACCATCTCGAGGAATAATTTGTCAATTCGCCAACCTTCGCTAACGCTGAGTAGCGGGCCAGAAAATCGGTTCGGGCCGAGGAGGTTAAAGGCCGACCTGCAGGCCTTTCTGCCACCAGAAACCTTTCACTCTCTTTTCGCTCTCGATTTGAAGGCCTTGAAACTTGTCGCGCACTTGGTCTTTGTTTTTTTCACAAAAGGGCGAACGAAACCGGCGCCGTGACAGTATGCAGTTGCGTATATAGTGGCTTCTCGTTGTAACTCAAGTGCGCCGTATAATAATAATAATAATAATAATAATAATAATAATATCTTGAAGAACATTGACACCCACCGTTCTGTAACGCAAAACTACACGAAAATACACACGGATTTTTAAGAGAAAAAAAAACTTCTACTAAAGCGCGATAAAATTCTTCCTAATACGGGGTTCGAACCAGGGACTAAAGGCTTTCCTAGGCGGTTGCTCTACCAAATGAGCTAATCAGGCAGCTCGAGGGTGAGTTGATCGACAGCTCCATGCACACGGAAAGAAGTGATTTACCATAGATAGACGTATATAGACGATACACATGGCGATATTCCGTCTAGAAAAATCTCTATTGGAAATAAATAAAAGAAAGGAATACAGAAATATGTTCGCCTACATAGTCGGCGCACTGCATTTCGTAATCGTTGGCTGAAAGGGCCGGCACGGCAAGATGTGCCAGAACAGTACTAGGTTTTGGGGAAAACAGAATGTACGGATTTCTTTCGATCTAAACAATATGCGATACATCATTCCGCATATAGCGGCCGTGACGCAGCTGCACGATAGCGCCGTCCTCATTGTCCGGCTGGAAAGCGGTGGTCGGATTCGGACACAAATTACGTCAACGCATAACTTAAATACAACAACAACAAATAAAAAAGAAGCGAAAAGGGAAGGAAAGCGTAAAACGGAAAGCCAGATCATTCCGGTTAGTTCTCAGGACCTCTTGATGACAGCCAACGGCATCATAATTGCTCCTCGGCTCACGGGTTGAAACAAGAAAAGAGGGGAAATTCTAAGGAGCTGCTGCCAAGCGGCGGGAATTACCTGCCCGAGCTATGAAAACAAACGTTGTTGACGAGGAAAAAAAAGGACGAGCCAGATGTTATCACAGAACCGCGCCTCTTCAAGGACGCCTAAAGAGCGAAGATGGCAGGTCACGTGGTGTTACTGTCGCGTACTTCATCCATGTACTCTCTTTCAAGTGACCGCAAATTCCAACATTTTCTTATTAATTTTTTATCAAAAGCCGCTCGTCAGCGATATTAAATGACGTGTGAACAGAGTTTGTTTACACAAACGGTGACATCGCATTCATATGGGTATCTATCTACCTTCTATTGTGTAACCCGAGTGTTAGCACGCTCAAGCCTGCAAGGTGTGCTGTGGTGGTTTACATGTTATACCGTACATTTCGTTTTATGCGCTTGTTTAAGCGCTTAATGAGCAGATGTAAGACATATTTGAATATCATTTGTTTTATGCTCTAACCGCACGTCAAAATGAGCAAGTGCTTGCTGTTCACTTATTATTATTATTATTATTATTATTATTATTATTATTATTATTATTATTATTATTATTATTATTATTATTATTATTATTATTATTATTATTATTATTATTATAGTCACTTGTAAAGCATGTTCGAGAATCATTCGCATTTTCTTGCTCCTTTAAACTGCTTTGTACTGAGATGGCGCGCGTTATGGTCTTAAAACCAGAAGTTTCGAACGTCATCTTTCAGGCCACTTTTTTTCTAAATAAATATTCTATTGAGACAAAAGCCTTATCTGCCTCATCACGCGCTAGCCTTAAAAAGACTAGCATGCGAGGTACAAAAACCTACGTTACCTTATGTAAATCAGATAAAAATATCCGATTGCAGCGTTGATACAATGCTACGCCATATGTGAAGTTGGTGACAAGATAAACAGATAACGACCACCGCCGATAGTCACGCCGGCTATTCTTCCCCTTTTAGACCTTAGAGTGTGCGTGTATAAATAGGCTGTAAATATATTGTGAAACATGTTTTGCACTGGTCCCTAAGAGTGTGTTCAATTCTTAACTTTACAACCAAACAGTATGTTTCATTGTAATCTTCGTTGCCAGCACTGCCTGCCATTCCGATGCGGCAAGCGAGGGCGTTTGTAAAAGTCATGCGATTGCAGGGCGAGTCAGAAAACAAAAGTACAGAAAGAGAGAAACGGACTGGGTTGACACACACACACGCACTAGCGCGCGTGTTGAGTCACAGCAAACACTGCAGTTCAGGCATTCGACCGCAGTTATACTGCCTTGTGGCAATATACTGCATCGTATTGCGCCGTGATATTGCATCACGGCGCTCCTCGACAGCTCGTTACTGACCAAGGCCGATACTTTTTATCTCGCGTCGTCCAGGATATCGTACGTTCCTGTTCCACGAACCACAAGTTCACAACGGCATACCATCCACAAACTAATGGACTTACAGAGCGCCTGAATCGCACTATCACGGACATGTTGTCAATGCATGTATGTTTCTCCAGACCACCGTGACTGGGACGCAACGTTACCCTACGTCACCTTCGCTTACAACTCCTCCAGACATGACTCCGCAGGCTATTCCCCGTTCTACTTTCTTTATGGACGGGTACCCTCTCTGCCTCATGATACACTTCTTCCCGCTGGTTCAAGCTCCCACGTCCGCGATGCCATAGAGCGAGCCGACGCAGCACGACAGATTGCCCGAGAACGACTCATGCTTTCTCAAGCCTCTCAGAAAGATCGATACGATCGTCACCACCGCGAAGTTTCGTATGCACTATGTTCTCTCGTACTCTTGTGGACCCCATGTCGTCACATCGGCCTCTCAGAAAAACTTTTATTTCGCTATGACGGACCATACAAAGTCCTTCGCAAGATCACCAACCTCACCTACGAGATACAGCGAGTCGTCGACGAAGCGCACTCAATGCCACCACCATCCACTGTTGTGCACGTCGTAAGACTGAAGCCTTATGTGTCACCCAACACTCCTCTTTCGTGACAAGCGCCGCGTCGGCGCTTTAACGCCGCGGGGTAGTGACACAAGGCAGTAGTGGTATTGGGGCATAAAGCGGTAGAGGGTCCCTGCTTGAAAGAAAGACTACGAAGTGGATAGAGACTGGTCCCAGCCCGCCAATGTGCCAGGCATTGCCGTCGCGTGTAATCATCGTAAATATCTTCAAATATACGTTTCCCTGTAAGAATATTTTTTAAATAATGTCTGCAATAGCGAATTTGCCTCTCACGTGAGGGTGTGATAACATAAATGAGGTCAATATCTGTATGACGTCAATATCATATGGTACGCCCGCTTGCTAAATATGTGAGAACACCGAACGCGCTCATCTAAAAGCGCCAGTTTCAAGGCGCTCTTGCGCTGAACGCGTAATAAGTGTATCGATCGGATCGGCCAAGCTATAGGTACACACCTGTGCGCGCTCCAGCTTCTGACCTCTAAGCCCATGGACCGAGCCGCGCCCTGTTTATCCTCCGAAAGGCCCTGTGCCGCGTATATACCGAGCCGTCCGGAGGACCTCGCGTAGGCAGATGTCAATCCAAACAGAATTAGCCCGACGAAGGCACGCGTGCACAATTAAGGCGCGCCTCGTGGGCGACACGTGATGCAGGCCAGGCGCGTGCCTATAATCGGATCCTCTTTGGCCGCATTACGGAAAATGGAGGCAGCCTCCGTGTGGCATGATGCAATTAAGAGTTGTCGCGCGGACAGAGAGCAGGGCTTTAATGGCATTGGGCTAAGCACTCGGGCGCCTGCCACAGCACTGGCGAACTAATAGAAGATTAAGCCCGCTGAGACATCCCCCCCTCCCCCCCTGGGCTCTGACCTTCCACGAAGATGGCCCATGTGCGTTGACGTGAACGGCATTTTAGTA